TCCGTAGACTGAACGTCCGTACGAATCCGTGGATTCGAAAAGTCCGTCGACTGAAGTCCTAGACTGAAAAGTCCGTAGACTGAAGTCCGTAGACTGAACGTCCGTACGTCCGTAGACTGAACGTCCGTAGACGAGAAAAGAATCCATGGATTCCGAAGTCCGCAGACTGCAGCCCGAAGAGTCCGTAGACTGAATTGAAGAAAGTCCATAGACTCAGAGAACCGGTGGATTCCACATCGGAAGTCCGCAGACAGAATCCCACTGAAGTCCCTTGTCTATATCATTGCAAACTCAAAGCTTGCCCCCTATATGATGTTTGAAAGTTATTTTGGCCAAATGTCGCTATATTTACTTGTTTCACCGCGTTAGGCTCAATGAAACAACATATCGCAACATATTTATTTCAACAAAAAGATATCGTCTAGTTTATTAAAGCCCAAACCCTAAACCCTAAAATTTATTAAAGCCCAAACCCTAAACCCTAAAACTTTAAACCCCCAAATGAAGCAGCGCGACGCACTTCTTTTTGTCCAATAATTATTAATGAAAAGAACCAGGACCAATATTGATAAATAATATATATATATATATTTAAATTATATAATAAATATATTACAAAATATACTTATTAAATTGTTTCAAAAATAATTAATATATTTATTTTGCTCAAATTTTTCATTAACTTATTGATTTTCTTTTTTTTCGTCGACTGGGCTGAGTCTGGACATCTGTCGGGACTGTCTGTGCTTGAGACACTGTACATTAAATTTAAAAATCCGCCCGCTATAGGTTGCCCGCCGCCCTGCTAAGTCTACCAAGACTTCGATGCCTCTCTCAGGGCAGATTCCCACATGGCAGTGAGTAACTTGCCCGCCATTCCAGAGCCGCTGGGACGTGATGCATCATCTGGGTCTGGATCATCTCGCTTTGGTCCACGTCGGGTTGTGTCAGGGTCGCGGTCTTTTACCGGACTCCTCTGACGTGATTTTTTGGGGTAGCGGCTTTGAGAGCGAATGCCGGCCCGTGGCGGCTTGGGTCCCGCTTCTCCAGACTTCTCCCACGCTGCGTCTGACATGTGCAAACCTTTTTCCAAGCAATCCTTCCAGGTGTAATTGTTCTCCTTGGACTGCCAGAGACCATTCGCAAAATGCGTCTGGCAGCGCAGATGCTGATTCATGCCAGCCATGCCGCCACCAATTGACTTCTTGCATGTATAGCACCAAGTTGTAGAGGTATTGCCTGGTGGCTTGTCAGGAGACTTTGGGCGCTGGGATGCAAGTGAGGTCCCTCGGCGGTCAGCGCCTGGCCTTTTGTCGTCCTTGGACACCGGTGCCGGGGCAGGCGGCGTGCAACCAGACCCCGCAGGGCGTGCCCCAGGCGCAGCTGTGTCAGGCCCTGTTCCCGCAGGAGCACGAGCGGCTGGCTCCGTAGAGTCATCGTCGGACTGCGAACTGAGGCTGATGCTGCGAGGACGGGCCGGCTCGGCAAATGCCTGACCCTCCACCAGGCGAATTGGCTCAGTGGGTGGGGCAGGCTGAGGTGGAGTCGGGTCAGGGCTATCCTCAGACGACGATGACTTGGACATTGAGCGGCGGCGTCGCCTCCGATCCTTAGACCGGCCCCTCTCCTTCCGCTTCTTGTCCTTCTTCTCGCCATCGTCATGGCGGTGTCGGCGAGTTGCCATGGCAGTTGACCTGCAGGATTGGGCGAGGTTTCATGGAATGTCTGTCAGAAAGTGGTTTCCATAAAAATTAAAAATCTAAGAATACCCTGGCCCGCCTCAGCAGGCACGCAGGCAAACGCTGGAAGGTGTGTGCTTGACTTTGAAACGGCTGCAGTGGAATGACTACTAAAGCTTGAAATGCAGAAACCAACTTGTTGGACCGACTAAATGTAGATGTCCTTCAATTCTTGAAATTATATTCAGATTTTAATGTGGAAAGTATTTATCCAGAAAAGAAACCTATGACATGGCCAGCGGCACGACAGTGGGATATGACCACTGTAGGCTCCCAATGTTGGCCCAGCCCAATCCCGGGAGATGATAAAGGAATTTGTTGAGGTGACCCTGGGCCCAAAGCTGCCCCAGTAGGTTGTCGTCATTTACCACTCTAGTCTCCCAGGTTTGGCCCAGCCCAACTCCGGGAGATTAGACTGGTAGTTACCCACTGTAATCACCCAGTGATTTCCAGACCCAGCCCGACCCCGGGAGAGCGTGCGACGTATAGATGTTGCGCGACGTATAGCAAGTTACCTTTTCAACTTCCATTACATCGCTTCTGATATTTTTCGATGGACAACTACCGCCGGGACTTTATGTGAAACAAGCGGTCACTCATTTGAGCTGCTTTGGCACCAGCAGGTACCTGTGCCCAATAGTCTTTGGCTGAACCCAAAGTGGCAAGGGAAGAGGCGTCCAGAGCTCTTCTAAGGCAGAGCATCAAACAGTTCAAAGCCATGGCGTCTCCCAAGGCAGCCGCAGCGATGTTTTCAGAGAGTCCTTCTTCCCGAGCTGCAGCCTGCATTGCTCTCCATACCGGTTGTGGGACACCTTGGAGTCGAGCAGCTTCTGAAGGCAGCAGCCTTCGTTGCAACTTGGGAATGTAGAATCCCCTGTTTTTTTTAACCGGGTGCGGGTGAGACATGGACTCACATTCGTCATCACTGTTTGAAACGACTCAGACGCATCCACGTCTAAGATGTAACCTTTCGCCCACATCTTTTTTTCCAAGAAGTCTCTCGTAGTGAGGGAGCTTCAAAACTTCTGATCCAATGTTGTCTTTCTCCAAAAAGAAATGCAAATCACTAGCGGTCTCCCGCGGACTTGGCAGCTTCAAATCCCCTATTCGACTTTCCTTTGTCACTGCGCAAACATATAGCCTTCTGCTGCGGCTTTGGGGGATGGCAAAGTCTCGTGGACTCAGCACACCAAACTCAACATCGTAGTCTAAGAGACGCAAAATCTTTTGCATGAATGTCCAGACCTTGCTATGTTTTTTGTGAGTCAAGGACTCCACTTGCTCCAAAATCACGACCCTGGGGCGCTTTGTGGCAATGTATTGAAGGCCCTTGAGAGTCACAAAGCCTCGACGGTCTTCAGTTCCAAGCCGCTTTCCCATGACAGAAAATGACGGGCATGGGTAGCCGGCGACATAGACATCTGCCTCCGGTGCAGCTGCATCCTTGCGCGCAAGGATGTCTGCGTAATGCTTGCCATTAAGCTTGAACCCGCAGGCCCTGGCAACAGCCGCAGGTAGAGTGACTTTGCTTGCATCATTGTCCGAAGACATGACTACTTGAACACGGTCCCGCAAGCCAAGTAGCATCAGGGCAATGAGTTCAGACCCGTAGCCCGTGCAGTCACTGGCATTTTTGATTATTGAACCTGGCTGGAGATTGTCCTTGAGCTTGAGGCGCTGGCGCCATGTTAGCGCCAGCCTGTTGACATTGTCTACCAGCGCCCGGACGCGTGTCTTTGCAATGGTCTTTTTGACTGGCATCTTTTTGATTGCCATTGCTTCCCACCCATGAGCCAAGCTGAGCGGCTGAGAGTAGTCTTTGTTTTGTTTTCAAAGCATGACAAAAAATTGACAGCTGATTTTTACTTGTCATTATTGTTGTGGGCCTGCAAACAGCATGCAATTACTGTAATTATGACAACCTCGCAAAGTACAACGCATCGCCCCTTTTTTGCCACTACCCCCCTTGGCAATGAAGTGAATAGGTCACTGTCACACGTGTGCTTTCACACGTGAGCTGCCTTCGGCTTTCAGACATTTGGAAGCCAACCAGGAAACAAATTTGCTGCCTGTGAAACGCAGCACCCCCCTTGGCACCGTTCAACCCCGGAACAGTTTCCTTCCGCCCGTGTAAAAGCAATGACGGCTTCCTACCCCGATTTTTCAAGCCATCCATGGGCACTGCCTGCCACCCTTTTGAGCAAGCATCTCGAGCAATGAGTGTCAAGCCGGGTTCTTCCCGCTTGAAAGTGTCCGTCAAGTAGATGGCAGCAGGCAGATCCAACCCTCGTTTGTACTGAGTCTTGATTCCCTGTTTTCCGTCTAGGACGTCGCCTGACAGGATATTGCCACCATTCAAAGCAGCCATGAGGCGCACTTTCCTATGCACTGCGGTGAAATCTTTGACAATGAACATCTGGCTTTTGCGCAAGTCCTTGGCCAGATGAAATGAAAAAAGTCAAACGAATACAAAATGAAATATGATTCAAACGGTTAAAATATGATTCAAAATGCCAAGTTTCATCCGAAAAGGTGAAGCGGCCAATGCGGTTCAAAGTGCTCTTCCACTTGTCCCGGGTTGCGGCGTCCACTGTCTTGTCCAGCCACACAGAACCCGGAAGGTCTTGCAAAGCGTTTTGGTGACTGACTGCCTTGCGCATATCCCGGAGAGATTCATATGCCTTGAATTTCTTGGCCCGGTTCGCATCGGAAACGGTTTCTGCTTTCTGTTTCTTAGCAGCCAAGGACATGAGCTCTGGAGTGATTTCCTTGTCCAATAACAATCCATCCTCCAAGGCCTCGGCCTTCCTTTTTTTCCCCAAATCACGCTGGCGAGCTTCTTCTTTTGCCAAAGACTCAGGCAACTGAAGCCGCGGCTTTCTTGGCGGTGTCTGAAGTTCTGCTGCAGCTTTCGCCACTGCCTGTGAACGTTTTCTGACCCAAGCAGCTTCAGAAGCAATGGACTTACAATTCTGCCTTCCTTTCACCCCAGCATCAAATCGTTTGCCTTTCCGCACACGGCATTGCTTGGATTTGAGCATTTCTGTGTAGATGTGCTGCGCTCTTCGCAAGATTTTCTCCTGCGATGCACCCTCGGACGAATCGCCCATGACCACGCACAGGCGTTTGTCGGTGTCTTCCGTTGCCGAAGCGAGTTCAATCGGGCTTCTCTTGACTTTGCTGAATAGTTGCTCCACACCAGATGTAGAAGCGCTCCAGGCAAAGTACGCACACAGGACCTCCCGAAGTCACCCGTTAAAAAAATGAAATTAAAGCTTTCAAATTTAAAAATACCTTGACATTAGGCCAAGTCACCTGGCTCAGAGCTTGTGACTCGTGGTACCGCAGACGAAGCTGAGCTGTGGCACGAGTGCGATCCATGGCAGCTTTCCAGGCAGCACGGTTGTCCCGCGCCCCTTGCTTGAACAATGCAGTTGCTATTGGGACTAAGTGGGTGTACTGCTCCTTCAATTGGCCGAGGTTCACTTTGAAAGCTTATAGCCAGCTTTTGCAAAGCATCTTCTTGCTCACCGGTGGTCGTGCTGCGACGGGTGTCCAAATGGAACACGTCGAAACAACTCAACAAATGCCAACTTGGAAACTCAGTCGCTAAGGTAGCTTCAGCACCTTGAAGCCATTCCTGCGCAGAAGAGTGCAGCACAGTGACTCAAAAAAACAAATAAACTGAAAAATACTGTCAGTCATTCCTTTCAAAACAGACTCAGACCTAAAACCTGCCTGAAAGACTTTCAAGGCTGCCGATTTGTCTCCCTCTGTGACACGAACTTCTCGAGGCACAGCGCCCATGACAGTCAGCGGCCGTTGTTCAAGCTGGTCAAGCATGTGCTTGGTGTAAGTCGGCAAAGTGAAAATCTTCTTCTCCCAGAAGAGAGAACGGCATTGCAACGAAAACTCCTGCACTTTCTGGTTGATTTGCGCGATGTCAGCATCTTCATGGTCCAAGAAGCGAGTGAGCTCCATTGCCGTTGCCGCAGCATCGGCTGCCATTGAGAGCATGAGGGCTTTCCTAGCAGTATATTCATTGAGAATGCTGCTTGCCCATGCTCCGCCTGAACCTCGCATGGCTTCGATACGGTGACAGACAGTCAGCATGGCCTGTTGGTTCTTGGAAATGCGAGACAGCGGCTGCAAAAAACTGCCGAAGCGATGCTTCGCCGCAGCTATGCTTGCAAGGCCGGGACCATTGTCATCGCACCCGTCATTCAGCGCTTCCTTCCACCACATGGAGAATAGCGGCCAATGAAAAATCTTTTGACCGAAGGAATCAGACGACGAGATAAACTCTGACATCACAGCTTCAATTGCCGGATGGTGATTGAATGGTCTCTTGAGGACACGGGTCGACCCATGCGCTCCATCGCGACCGACTAAGGTCAAATTTTTGAAATCACAAGAGTTCAAAGTGGTATTTGCGTATGACCTTCGCCCGCGCAGCTGCTCAGAAGAAAGGAGCTCACTTGGCGCAGCATCCGTGACCATGATAGTCACATGGTCCTTGATATGTTTGACAAGTGGGGCGCCATGAGGGCCCTCAGAGTGGGGCTGTTGGCAGTCTCGAGGTAGCATATGGAAAGGAGAGCAGAACTCTTCTAAAATGCTGTTGGTTGCCTTGGCCAAACTATCAGCGCTTCCCTCCACTGTTTTGAGGCCAAGCACCCCGGAACACACTGTCAAATCATCTCCTCGACAGGCTCGGAATCGAACCAACAAACGTCCTTTGCGCTCGTCGCGAAGAATCGCGATGGAACGGGCCTGCTTTAGATGTTCACGGTTCTTGGCCATGATTGCTTCACTCAGAGCAAACCTGAGCCTTTTTTTTTTTTTGTCTGAGCAGACCCCTCCTTGCCTTGCAATGCCCCCCTTGTTTCATGTGGGTCAAAGCAGCCTGAAACTCATCCACTGGTGGGCCTGTCCCTCGTCCTTGAGCAATGCCTTCCTTAATGGATTCAACATGCGACCGAGAGGCTTCGTGCCGTCGAATCATGCTCCGCTTCAAATGCAAAGGGTTTTTTTTGGAACTCCGCCCATGGGCCACTGCGACCTGCGAGAGCGCAGTCCGTGCACCCTAGTGCAACTTGCTTCTTTCGCATCCCCAGTTTCAACCACTTAGGTTGATCCTGCTTGGTCAACTCATGCCACTTGCATACTCGGCACCGGGCTTTCTCACAAGCCTTAGCATGTTGGGCAATGAGCTTCTTTGGTAGCAGAGAGGGCCTGGCAGAAGTCGCCTTGCATTTACTGCCAGCCATGGTCAGGGAATCACACACTAATACGGATGACCACCTTCATATGCCAAGTAACAACCCTTGAGAATGACAGTTATTATAAATAAATCTATATATATATAT